TCGGTCATGGGGCTTGAACTCTGGGCCTGGGCACTATCCCTGAGCATTTCAGCTCAAAGTGAGCACTCTACCACTTGACCCACAGCACCACTTCTGGTTTTCTGGTGGTTCATTGGAGATAAGAGTCTCACAGACTTTCCTGCCCAGGCTGGCTTTGAACCGTAACCCTCAGATCTCAGTCTCCTGAGTAGCTAGGATTATAGGCATGAGCCACCAGCGCCTGCCTTAAAATGTTTTTTTTAAGCTAGAAAAACACTCTTGGGGAAAAAAAATAAATAACCGGAAGTGGCACTGTGGCTCAAGTGGTAGAGGGCTAGCCTTGAGCTGAAGACCTGAGGGACAGTGCCCAGGCCCAGAGTTCAAGGCCCATGACCAACAAAAAAATAAAAATAAAAACACTCTTGGCACCAGTGGCTTACACCTATAATCTTAGCTACTCAGGAGGCTGAAGTCTGAGGATCACAGTTCAAAGCCAGCCTGGGCAGGAAAGTCTATGGGATTCTTATCCCCAATTAACCACCAGAAACCCAGAAGTGATGCTGTGGCTCCAAGTGGTAGTCTGCTAGCCTTGAGTGAAAAAGCTCAGGGACAGCATCCAGGCCCTGAGTTAAGATCCCATGACCAAAACAAAATAAAACAAAACCACACACAAAAAAAACCACATTTTAATCTGGGCACCAGTGGCTCACACCTGTAATCTTAGGTACTCAGGAGGCTGAGATCTGAAGATCCAGGTTTAGAGCCAGCCCAGGCAGGAAAAGTCCCGAAAGACTCCTCTCCAGTTAAACACCAGGAAACCAGAAGTGGCACTGTGGCTCAAGTGGTAGGGTGCTCGCTATGAGCTAAAGAGCTAAAAGAGCTCAGGGACAACGCCCAAGCCTAGAGTTCAAGTCTCACGACTAACAAAAAAACAAACAAAAACCCCACATTTTAATCTTGAGACTTGGAAATAAGTTTTGTTTTCTTGTTTTGTTCACTTTTCAAATGTCCCAGCTCATAGCTCTGCCTCCTGTACAACTTCAGCTATTTTCTGTTTGCAGCAGGCAGTGGGAGCATTTATTGCTTGTGCACAGCCTGACTCCCGTCTCTAAGCTTTCGCAGTGTGGTTTGATGCAGAGACAAGATTTTGAATCAACAGATTTGGTTGTATTAAAAGATATACTAGATATCAGAATCTGGGCTCTTTTTTAAAAAAGAAAAGAAAAAGGAAGTTAAATCGAATATATTTTTAACCAATCTAGAAAATCAGAAAAGTATACATGCAATATCTCAACACACCAACCTGGATTTCTTAAAGTTTGTGGCTAAGAATCCATGAGACAGAAATTGCATGAATGTCTGCTTGGAAGAACTTCCAGGCTGTCCTTCCATTGCTCAGAACAGAACAGATGCAAAGGCTGGAGCCCTCCTCCTTCTGCTGTCTCTTCTCTCCAGGGCTGGCTTCTCAGGGGCAGCCTCTGGGTATTGATGTGAGCTGATCTCCTGCAGACGAGGGCCCTGCCACAGTGCCCAGAGGCTCCCAGGAGCCTGGACTCCCACCTGCTCATTAGAGATGGGGTCACACCTTCCTTCCAGGAGGCTGGGTTTTGTGAGTCATTTTTTTAAATTAAAATATACAGCCTCTGGGTATCATCTGGGGGTGAGGGGTGAAACGATCACTATGCATTCTAGAGGAAATGATGAAAAATTCAAGAGAAGAATTTTCACTCTTGTTAATGTTTTTTTCCATTCACTCAGTAAAATCTACTACTTTTTTCCATAAAAGTTCACACTGACTGTGTGTCTATGAGGAGTCATAGAATACAGCCCACACAAAGACGACACTCGGCAGTCAGTATATTCTTAGGAACAATGTAAAAATGCAGTTTTCGTATTTGAACTCTGAACACCAAAGCTAACAGATCCCTTCTGTCTCCTTCAGATGTTTGAAATCATTATGTAAATTAATTTTATAGTAATAGATTGTATTTTATAGTGCAATATGTTGACATACCAGTCCCACAGTGTTTATTAAAAATGATGTCCTTCTTTAAGTTTGAAAGGTTCAGATTATTAAGATGGAGTCTTACTCATAACTTAAGTCTTATATTCATTTATCTCCAATTTTCTCCTTCACCTCACTTCCCAATTTTCACATGTCAATTAAAAAGAAAAAAAGCGTTACCCATTTTCCATAAGTGATGGTACCATGAAATCACATTCTATGGTGTCATCTGAATATTATTTTGATAGCCTGCTGCTTATAAAAGAGAGAATTATGTATCTAAAACTTACATTTGTCTATACACAATTATCATTTTGCATTTTCCTTTGAATTCATACAAGTTAAAAAATGTAATTCCTATCTGACTACATTCACTAAGACAGCTAATCTAAAGACAAAAATAAAATGTTGTTTTTAAACACCACATGGGTAAAATTATGGCAAACTGACAGGGTGTGGCCACTGTGTAACAAACAAAATACCTTTTTGTACTAAAATAAAGACAAGTGCTACAGCTGGTCTTTAATTCAGGTCTAACTTTTCTATACTTGACTTTTGTAGTACTTTAGTTACGTATGAAGTGATACCATTCCTTTTAGCTTATGCATTATACAAAGATGCTAGCCAAGGCATTTATCCTGGTGTATATCCAAGGACATAGCAATATTCATAGCTGGATCCAGAACTCCTAGTAGTAAAAGAATACCTTAAAATGTGGGGTACATACAAAGTCCTGATTTAATCTCTAGCACCATCCCCACAAGAGTGGAGAAAACCAAATCCAGAAAACTTTCAATTACTTAATTACTTAAAATAGTAAAAATAAAGATGTAAAAACAAAATGCTAAGATCAGTATTGAGTAAATCTAATCTAGTTGACAGAATCTTTTTGTAGCAATTAAAATCATGAAAGATTATGTTTTAAAGACAAGGAAGAATATTATGATGTTTTATATTTTTAGCTGATATCTAAATATATAAATGGCATATAGTAATGGGGTGCCACATAATGTTCTTATGCAATACTTTTTATTTACATAGTCCTTACTATAAGAAATAGTTTTTGGTTGGGCACTGGTAGCTCACACCTGTAATCCTAGCTACTCTGGAGGCTGAGATCTGAGGATTGCTGTTCAAAGCCAGCTGGGGCAGGAAAATTGTGAATCTTGTATCTCCAATAAACTACTCAAAAAATACAGAAGTGGCGCAGTGGCTCAGTGGGAGGGCATTAGCCTTGAGCAAAAAGAAGCTCAGGGACAGCACCCAGGCCCAGATTTCAAGCCCCAGGACCGGCAAAACAAAATTAGAAAGAAGAAATTCTTTTTAAGCAAAGAGTAAATATATTGGGAAGTTGTTTTATTGGGTTTTATACTTTACTGAATTATAGATAATATAATTTATGTAAATGTCAAAGCTTTTTAAATTCTAGGACTCCTTAACTTGCAACATTCTTCATTCTCTCCATCTGTCTCTGTCTCTGTCTCTCTGTGCATACATGAGCAGAGCCCCGTGCTTGGCTTTTTCACTCATGGCTGGCATTCTACCATCTCTACTTTTGGCTTTTTGCCAGTTCGTTGGAGATAAGAGCCCCAAAGATTTGCCCAGGTCTTCAAGCCACATTCCTCACTTCTCAGCTTGGCAATCAAAGGAGCTAGGATTCTAGGCACTAGTTATCCCAGAGGCCCATTCCTCATTCGTGATACCCAGAGGAAGGAGTGAAAACCAAAAGCTCGCCACACATCCTGCAGTGTCACACTGGCATTTGACTCCAGAGAGGAGACTCTGAGGTCGGGAGGGGTGAGCTAACTCGCCCAAGGTCACAGAACAGAGACTGACATAGTTGACTCTTCAAAACACCACAGCTCTCCTTTCCCACTCCTGGCAACATTGCTGTAAAGAGCCAGAGGCAAACATGGAAATGTCTGCTGGGAATAGGAGCATTGCTTCTCTGGGAGATTTCGGAATCACCCACTCTTCCCACACACCCCGATACACTAGCATTGTAACTGTAAATCTCTATGAAAAACAAAGAGACTAGTAATATTCTCTTATAATGATCTGTGTGTGCACGTGCGTGCATGCATGCATGTATGTGTATGTGTACGTGTGTATGTGTGTGTGTGCTGGTCCTAGTGCTTGAACCCAAGGCCTGGACACTGTCCTAGAGTTTTTTATTGCTCAAGACTGGCTCTCTTCCACTTGAGCCACCTGCTCCTGCTCCTCCTCCTCCTCCTCCTCCTCCTTCTTCTTCTTTTTGGTGGTTCTTAATTGGAGATCAGAGTCTTGTGGACTTTCCTGCCTGGGCTGGCTTTGATTTCAGCCTCCTTAGTAGCTAGAATTACAGGCATGAGCCAAGGGCCTTTGGCTACAATGTTCTTTTTTAAATGTCTCCAAAAATTTTTTTTCTGAGTTGGAGTGAATGTCTCAGTGTGTAGCTCAAAATAGAGTAGCTTTTGAGATCCTCCTGCCTCTGCCTCCTGAGTGCTAGTTGTGCCACGCCCAGCTCAAGTCTTTCAGTGGAGGGAAATTCTGACCTATGAGATGCTGGTTGGAATAGATGGTGAGTGTGCAGAGCTTGGAAATGCTGGCCATGTAAGCTTATTTTGTTCTGCGTATCTACAGATGCATCAATGTTACTTACAACTAGTAAATTAAAAATGGCCAATTTAAGCTGGGCACTGGTGGCTAACACCTGTAATCCTAGCTACTCAGGAGACTGAGATCTGAGGATCACAGTTCAAAGCCAGCCTGGGCAGGAAAGTCTGTGAGACTCTTATCTCCAATAAACCAGTAGAAAACCAGAAGTTGCGCTGTGGCTCAAGCGGTAGAGCGCTTGCCTTGAGCTGAACAACGCAGGGACAGTGCCCAAGCCCAGGGTTCAAGCCCCGCGACCGAACAACAACAACAAAAAGGCCAAGTTAAAAATCATTTTTGTGGGCTGGGAAGGTGGCTCAGTGGTAGAGTGCTTGCCTTGCATGCATGAGGCTCTGGGTTCGATTCCTCAGCATAAGCAAAAAGAAAAAAAGCCGGAAGTGGTGCTGTGGCTCAAGTGGTAGAGTGCTAGCCTTGAGCTGAAGAGTTGAGGGACAGTGCCCAGGCCCAGAGTTCAGGCCCCAGGACTGGCCCCCCAAAAAATCATTTTTGAAAAGGTCCTATTAATAGAAAATTATTCTTTAAGCCAGGTGCCAGACAGGAAAGTCCGTGAGACTCATCTTCAATAAACCACTAAAAAACTGGAAGTGCTGCTGTAGAGCGCTTGCCTTGAGCTGAAGAGCGCAGGGACAGCGTCCAAGTCCAGAGTTCAAGCCCACGACTGAATCCTTCTCTCTCCCCATATTCCTTTGACATTGAAAGAGATCTTATGGTAAACAAAGTGCTCATTTAGAGAATAATTTTCTTTTCTTTTCTTTTCTTTTTGTCAGTCATGGGGCTTGAACTCTGGGCCTGGGTGGGAAAATATGCATGGCAGGGTGCTCTGTATGTTCGATTTTGTAGTGAGAAATCAAAGATAGCTTCATTGTGTTGTTACTTCCAGTCCTGGCTCTTTGCTGCAGCTTTGAAAGCTTGTTAATCTCTTTGGGTCCCCCTCTTTTTCATTTGTCTGCTATGCTCCCCCAAGGGAATATCATTTGACACTCTACAACTAGAGCTGTCCTGACTTTACTAGGTAAATATTTCATGTGCATTTATTGGTTTATATTAGTCATACACCCACGATTCAAAATGTAAAAAATACAAATGGAGGATTCAATGGCTGTGTCCCACACCGGCTTCTCTCTGAGTGCTCTCTCTGGTCCCAGTTGCTAGTTTTATTTTGCATACTCAGAAATTTCAAGATGTCACAAATGAAAGCATTACGACTCAGTTTAAACTAAAAGAAAAGGATTTATTCTAAGGCAAGACTGCTCAAGCTGCATTTGCTCTCCTTATAGCCTCACCCAAGTTTTCAGATTTTTCAGTCACAACTTAACTATTAAATAGTCACAGCACCTTGCCAAGGAGTTTTGACTTTGAACTTGCTAATGTGTAAAGGAAATGGTTCCACCACTTCTGTGTATCTTGGTTATTAAGGGGACCAGTGGCATATGCCTGTAATCCCAGCTACTCAGGAGGCTAAGAGCTGAGGATTGTTTTTCGAAGGCAGCCCAGGCAGGAAAGTCCACAAGACTCTTATCTCCAATAAACCACCCCCCAAAACAAAACAAAACAAAACAGAAGAGGAGCTGTGCTTCAAGTGGTAGAACATGAGCTTTGAGAGGAAAAAAACCCACTTTTTTATATTTATCATTGTTTTTAAAATATTTGCCTTCTGGGTGACATTGTCTAAAAAGAATTGGACTCATCACATGACTTATGAAATGATAACCCCTCTGTACAACACCTTAATAATAACAATAAAATTATATTGTAAAAATATAAATTTGCCTTCTTTTCTTCTCTTGAAGACTAGAGGATTTTTTTCGACTACTTTGAAAATTATACACTTTAGGCCAGGACAAACATGCAAGAAATTATAATATGAATAGGCTGTTGTGCTTAATTCCTCTTTAGGCTATTCTGTTCGCTGACCCCTGACTTATTTTTAAAAATGTGTGTTGAACAAGGAGGACTGAGCAGATAATGCCCGTCGGGGATACAATAACGGAATATACTATGATGACTCAAGTTTTAGGAAAATATGCTTGAAACACCACCCTTTCCCGCAAATTTCAGATTTTTACACTGCAAAATAAAAATCCATTTTCTTCTCGTGACAATTTGGATTCGTGGCGGCTCTGGTGGCGGGGCTGAGGCTGTAGCTCGGTGGTTGGGCAGGTGCTCAGGCCACACGGCGACCTGCTCACTCTGCAGCCAGCGCCAGCACACGGAACAGAAACTTTAAAGTGTAATATTTTCCAAAAACAAACAAACCAACCAACCCTTTGGACCATCAGCCTCCCTTGGCCGGCGTCTGCTATTATTGAAATGTGACTGAGCTACGTGATACTTCTCGCCTGCATCAGAAAAGGGTGCAGGCTTTGCGCATCCCCAACAGGCCTCGACCCTACCGGGGATCGGGACACCCACGCGAGGGTTGCGGGGTGCGGTGTCTGTTAGTTGCAATCCCACCCACTCGTTTTTCTCAGTGGTGCACGGTGGACACCAGGAAGGTCCGATGCCTGCCCTCCATGGACTTCCGTGGGACACGAAGCTCTCGACTAAAGATTCTATTCAACCAGGGTTGGGCCACTCTGGCCGCTTCTCACCCCACGCAGGACCAGGTGCCCGGGGTCCGGCGAGGACAGAGCCCACGCGCGAGATCGGCTTTCCCAGACGTGGCCCGACCAGGCGGGGCGAGGCGGGCCCCGCTCCCCGCGCGCGCGCGCCCTTTAATCTCGCAGCCGGGACCCCCGCGCGGCGTCGGGAGGGCG